ACCGTATCCAACGATTGGTATGCTACCTGTTCCTGATTTGAACTTGAGGTATTCCATGTTGTTAAGTTATGTGTATGCTTGTATATAGTAAGTTGTACAGACACGTTCTCTTGATTACTTGGTTACTAAAAAAAATATTTGATGGTAAAAAATGGTTATTAAAAAATGTTCTTAGTGTTACTTGATATATCAGTATATCTTTATGATGAGAGTACATCATATACTAATAACTCAAAGTAAAAATTAACTTTTAGTTTTGGTTTATCACGTGTACATTTATTATTTATATATTCGGAATAAAATTTTATATTTTGTCGATTATGCTAGACAACCGGAATACACTATCGTCACATTACGGATGATAGCATATTTATTCAATCAGCATATTTAATGTTAGTCATTTGACCGCTTATCGGCTTAATGTCCACTAGGCAGTCACAATTGAAAGACGAAGTGTGATGATGACAAACTTTATCCATTATTTTAAGGTAACGCCAAAAAAGTATTAATCAAAACAAAGTCACATAAAGATACATATTTAAAATCAATCTCGTATGAGTTTCTTTCAATTAAAATTGTNCATATTTAAAATCAATCTCGTATGAGTTTCTTTCAATTAAAATTGTTTGTTTAATTATAGCTATGCGCTAGCCGTTTTCGCAGAACAATAATCTATAGTTGTATAACTGTCATTTTGGCACTGGTCTTGATGGGTAAGCGCGAGTACCTGGTGAAGTTTGTTAGTGCAGACATGGTTAATACTAGACCTAAGGACGTTTGGGAATATGTGTCAGACTTTTCCAACATGATGAGACTAAACCCGACAATGTAAGTATTTACGCCGGACAAGTACATTATTATGTAATGTAACAAAAGTGCTTTACACATTGCTTTGTTCCGGTTCCAATTTACGGAATTGCTCCTGTCATATAAACGAGTAAGGCACCGTTCAAATTCTGTTAATAATGATTGCTTAAATAATTCAAATGTTTAATTTTAAACATTTTTTATACAAATCTTTTGCATTACATTATTCGTCAATCGATCATTTATTTTTCGAAGAATATGTATTCTTTTTGTATACATACAATAAGAACTTAATAATATAATAATATGATAAAAATATAAAGGATCTTAAATGTCCCCTTCACGAGTATGTTGAAATTTTTGGAACAAATGCATTTTACCACCCCATCGAATTTTTTCAAAATGTGTGTGTTTTAATGCTTTTTTCAGAAGTGTTTGAAAAAATTGGCGGAAACTTTTGGTTCAAAAGTTATAGCATTTTAAAGTTGAAACATTATAAAATTAAAAATAGCTCTAAAATTGTTTTTTTTTTTGTTAATTTTTGGGTTTTTTCTTACAAAAATATTGTGAAACTTTAATGACGTACCTATTACGTAATTTCCTGGTTTAAAAAACCCTAAAACCAAAAATAACTTTAAAAATATGGATTTTCCAAATTTTTTTTTTTTTTTCAAAATTACGCAATACAAAAAAAATTTGTTTTCATAAAGCTATGACGTAATATTTTTTTTCAAAATGATATCAAAATTAACCGATTAAAAAAATGGATTTTTCTATATAATTTTTTTTAGGTAATTAGAAACCCAATTAATTTTAGTTAAGCAAAAATAAAAAAAACCCAGCACAGTGGTGACGTAGCATAGTTGGATCAAGTGTAATGATATCTGACAGTGATTAAAATCACTATCAAAAAAAACTCTTCGATCTAAATCTTTAGTTTAATTTTAATTTTAAATTTAAGTTAAATTTAAGTTTAATTTTAAAAAATTGGTGAATTATTTCAAAAGCTACAGTATCTGCTAGTTCCTTATTAATATCCTAATTAAGATAAAGTATATCCAATGAAAAAAGGATTATTAAAAATTATTATTTCTCATAAAAAAATTGTGTTGATCCATACACTTTTCAATAATTTATAGCATTATAAGTTAAAAATATAAAAAATAAAATCGAGAATATTCACACAAAAATAGTATTTGGTAGACATTTTCACCATGAAGACAAAATAAAGTCCGAAATTTCTTTTTCCATAATAAAATACATTAAATTAGCTTTAAGTTAAGATATATATAAAAGTGTCAGACTTTCCGGAACATTTTCAAAAGTTAAGTTGAAAAAGTTAATTTTTTGTTAAAAAGTTGTTATTTTGAATCCTCCCTTGTGGGTAGGTAAAGGGTCAAATTTATAAGAAAAATATACCAAATGATAGGTTAAGACATTATGCATCTATAAAAATATATATATATTGATTTGGTTAATTCTAAAAAAGTTATGGCAATTTTAAGTAAAAAAAATTGAAAAAATGTCGAGAATTATCGATTTTTAAATTTGTAATTTTTTTGGAGGTTTCCCCATTTACGGAAATCAGTTCAGTAAGAGCTGAAAAAAGGTGGTAACAGACACAAAAAAAAAACACATACTAGTAAAACCTTTTCTGTTTCGCATCGAAGCTAAAAATAAGACCGCGATGTGATGTTTTACTAATTTATTACATAGAAATGGAAATCAATAAATTAAAATTTCTTATTCAGTATCATATTATAATTAATTAACTTAAGAAGTCTAATTAGTTTAAATATTACAGCTTTTTAAAGTTGTTGAGGTATCAAAATATAAAAATCCAAAAAAATATGGTTGCTGTTATTCATTACTAATATCTTAAAGTTATAACGTTGAGTCACACAAACCCATTTAATTATAAGTTGTGGTCACCTACGCCTGCCAGCTCCGGTGACTTATTTATTTATATTGTAATTGTTTCTTTGAGGTTTCTCGATTGCACGAAAAATTAGTTTATAGGAATGCCAGTTAATATTATTGCCAGCCTTCCAAACTGATTTTTAATTTATTAAAGATTTTATTTTGTTTACAAAACAAACATTGTTAATTTAATAATAAAATTATTATTAGTTAAATTGAGACTGGTCTTGATAGTAATGTAAAGGTGTTTCAGACTATATTTCAACATTTTACTTTATATAATAACATAAACTGCTTAATTTTATGTATTTATATAGTTTTAATAAAAATAAACGATCTAAATTTAAATAAACTTGTATTTTTGGGACAATAAAATATTGGATGTCAGTTACATAATATTGAAGATTTTTTTTAAATCAAAAGAGTAATATTTCATGGAAAACCTTATATTTGTCTTAATTTAAAATTCAAATATCGAAACTGTTTTTGTTATTATTATGCAAATGTGTTTATAACATAAGAAATAATAGTTTTGTTTTCAAGCATCGATTTACGCCAAACAAGTTATATAGAACACTAACTATTTTAATGACTCGTTTTTGATAAATTTACTATGGAAAAATGTAATAATAACTAAGAAAAAAGTAACAAGGTTAAACAAATTGAACTTCTCACTCATAAATTTATGTACTAAGATAAATAAAGTATTATCTAAAACATATTTTTATCTTTTGTTTATAATATACGTGACTTCAATTCTTTAAAAGGTATTTAATATTTCATTTGTTAATATGCATCTCCTGACATTTATTTAACAGGTTATACATTTCTCTGTTAACCTATTATATTGTGAATATTTAGAGGTGGTAAGTTTTAACAAATTTTAATTGTAAAATTATTTTAAAAGAAAGTAGTTTTAAATTGTATTATGTTTTTTTATGAGTTTTACTAGCCATCAGAGTTTCAGTAATGATAAAAAAAAAAAAAGGGAAATTGTAACAAATAATTTAACTCTACTTTTCCTAATTACATATTACATATTTAAATAAAAATAAATATCTGTCTACGTATAAAAATAAAATAGTTAATTTTAGACCAATTATATATTAAGAATACCAGTCGAGTGGATGAAAAAATCAATTGTATTGTTATANCAATTATATATTAAGAATACCAGTCGAGTGGATTAAAAAATCAATTGTATTGTTATATCAGTAAAATTCGTTTTATAGACACTAAAACAATTAATAGGGGATATATTATAGAATCATTAATAATTTAATAAAATATAGTGATTATATTCTATAGCTGAGCATTCTAATAGTCAATGGGAAGATTTCCAAATACTAAATCATTATGTTAAGGAAGAAAATAGAATGATTAAAAGATATAATGTAGGCGTGAAAAGGTAATCGATTATTAGTCTAAGACGAGAAAAGGAGATTATATAGAAATAGAAAAGTGTGAGATCGAAAAATCAAGGATGTGTTATGTATCATTGGCATATAGATTTATGTCAATTTGCAGCACATAAAATGTGGAACACGACCTACTTATCTTACCACATTTTCATAATTGTTTGATGAAGAGAAAAAAGAATTTCAGATGACGGAATTTTGATAGATGGAGGATGGCGAATAGAAGTAAGAGTTTAGCTAAATAATAATCTTTATTTCTTACAATAACGATAGGTCTATGACATGAAAAACATTCCATATTGATATTAGTTATATAAAGAATGTGTATTTGTGATTTTAGTTTAAATAATGAGAAAAGATCTACACTTCTTTAAAAAAATTAAAAGAGGTAGCGAAAATAAATGATTATAAGTCTCGTACAATTAAAATATTAGATACATNTATCAGTAAAATTCGTTTTATAGACACTAAAACAATTAATAGGGGATATATTATAGAATCATTAATAATTTAATAAAATATAGCGATTATATTCTATAGCTGAGCATTCTAATAGTCAATGAGAAGATTTCCAAATACTAAATCATTATGTTTAGGGAAGAAAATCGTGTGATATAATGTAGGCATGAAAAGGTAATCGATTATTAGTCTAAGACGAGAAAAGGAGATTATATAGAAATAGAAAAGTGTGAGATCGAAAAATCAAGGATGTGTTATGTATGATTGGCATATAGATTTATGTCAATTTGCAGCACATAAGATGTGGAACACGACCTACTTATCTTACCACATTTTCATAATTGTTTGATGAAGAGAAAAAAGAATTTCAGAAGAGGGAATTTTTATAGATGGAGGATGGCGAATAGAAGTAAGAGTTTAGCTAAATAATAATCTTTATATCTTACAATAACGATAGGACTATGACATAAAAAACATTCCATATTGATATTAGTTATATAAAGAATGTGTATTTGTGATTTTAGTTTAAATAATGAGAGAAGATCTACACTTCTTTAAAAAAATTAAAAGAGGTAGCGAAAATAAATGATTGTAAGTCTCGTACAATTAAAATATTAGATACATCATAGAACCTTGTAAAATTAAGTGCACACAAACATGTGAATTCTTTTTTTTTTAGGTGTGTTAATAGTTTTATTTGACTCTAATGTTTGTTTGATTGTACAATAGATGGCGATAGTTGGTTTAAATTGTATAGTCTGAAAAAGCTTGGTAGAATTAATAAATATTAAGTGCCAACAATACATGTATTTGCCAAATAATTTTAAATTTTAATTACG